GCCTCTGTCTGCCCTGTTGCCATGGCGTTGCTGGGGTTGAACCGTGGACTTGTTACATTTTCAGAGGTCGCAGTACAGATTAAAGACACGACGGTTGTATCGAGGTAAGCTTGAGCATGAAGGGTGCAAGATCTTGGTGCCGTAATCTGATTTTTTGCAGGCTACAAACCTTTATTGTTCCAGTTTTTACGGTCGGTCTTTTTGGATGCTGGTGTTACGTAACTATTGGTATTCACGGAAAATTTCATCGGCTGTGTGTCACTGCAGGATTTTCTGTCGTTCTCGTCCATAAATTGTATTTGGCTGGTACTGGCATGTTTTCGGAACACTTTCAGTAAGTTTGCAAGTAGATTCCAATGGTAACAAAAAGTAACTTCCTCAGTTCAGTGTAGAGAACATTGTGTATACATTAGTAACGAGTGACAATTTATGGAATTTTGTGCAACGATGTAACTTGATCGCATTTGTCGGAATAGGACTTAATGCCATATAATGCGTAGAAAGTGAATGAATAAACAGAAATTTTGATAAAACTATTATTATCAGCGAATTAAAGTATTCCCAATTATGAAAATGATTATTCCAACCGTTGTTGTTGTGTTAGGCAGCATTTATTTTCATATTTGTAACACAGAGTTCAAACTAGCAAACGAGTGTGGTCGTCATACTGTACATCCTCACAACCCGTCGACGCAAGTAATTCCTAGTTGGTGCGTAATTTTATTGCTAGACGTGATAATGAATAAAAAGTGTGGATTCATAATTCTTGTTCTTGTCTTGTATATATTTTGTTAAATAGAATGCTAATTGCACCGCGAATGGCAGCCGTCGTTGTTGCTGTGCTGCTTTTGTCAAGCCAGACTGCTTCTCGTGCTTCTCTTTTGTCCGCATCCTCGATGATAATTGCATTACTGTTAACACGACTCGAGATGACCATCGTCCTGTTCGTTTCCGTTGTCCAGGAAGTTCTTCTCAACCGACTTTGTCACCTGCTGGAGCTGAGCCTCTACGACCGGGTAGTACTTTACTACCTGCTGGCCGGAACTTTGTACTTTTTCAAGGTAATGTCCATTCTTGTAAACCTGAACTTACAAAAATTGAAAATGCTTACATTTTGTATAGGGATCCACAAACAGCCTCGGTACCGTAGATTTTTCTGCAGCTTATACGGGTCTGGCTTCCTATCAGCCGTTGATAATCATGATGAACATCATCGCGAGTATATACTGCTGCTCGTTTTGGATATGGACGGCATTCCTTAGAAGAACGTCGCAAAGCACCCGATGGTCTGGCATCTGTTGCGTTCTTTTCCTTAGATCGCTTTCGATTACAATGTGCTTGCTGTTCACCATAATATTGCGGTACCACGCATTCATCTGGAGCGTTTTCATTCCTAAACTTTTGTATGAGTGTTGTCACACGGCTGTCACCTCGTTCGTAGTTTTCTTAGCAACTGTATTGTGGCAACCTTCTAATACCGTTGATGAATGTCTTGGATTGAAAGTTAAAGCTGAATTGTAACTGAATAACGATGCAAGCCGGTACAAAGTCTGTTCTTCAGAAAATAGATTAGAAGTCTCTATCGAAGCCAAAAATTAATTACGTCTTTTGCAAATCGTAATATCTAGCCTGTCAGCGTCAGGAATCTATCTAAGTACAGTAGGAGGAATCTAGCTAAGTACAGGAGGAGCCGTTGTGCAATGAGTTTATAGTTTAGTACTTTCAAGATGCTGGGTTCGAAACCTACGCGTTGCTTAAATTTTTTCTTATTGCTAATTCCGTTGAACAAGGAACTAAATCCACTGCGCTTCGGTTCAACTAACCTTAAAAACTGATAAGTGGATCTGCGAATAACAAAGACAGCATAGTGTTTCGATGTAAAACTGTGCGAAAAATGCGGCTACGCTGTTTGACGTGAGCTTCTAGCTACAATTTCATTTGACTCACCTAACTCACTAAAAGCCAACGCAGCAAATGTCAAATATCATGCACATAAGACAATGCAGATGATGATTCAATGATTGAATACGTTAATAAAAATTTTGAACATGCTTCGAAATGGAAGAACTGAATCGTCAATCTGCGGTTAGAAGATTTTCGACTGCGTGGTAGCCTGTAAAATAAGAAAATTCGTCTTTATTTGGATATATTGATGATTTTTGACTCTGGCTGTTAGTGTTCTTACTTTGTGCCTATATGTTTTGACTAAGCTAAACGAGAATTTGCTGATATCAAAGCGTGTCATTTCATTTTTTGCATGATACGGCTCCTGGATCCAGAAATTCTGTAACAATTATTGGCATACTGCTGCATGAAGTGAACCCAGTAAAAAATATTTGAACTGAAGAGAACCATATCAGTGCTTTCGAACATTTGACTTTGTTTTGTGACTAGAGTGGTTTTTTTAAGGTGTACAGAAAGAGTTGGGGTTAAAAAATATTAACCAATATTTGGGGTCTGTAAATAATTTAAGAACAATGCATGAATACATTGAGCAGATTATGTCGAAATGGCATAAACAATTCAACAACAATGCAGAATCAAGAATTTTTTACATTTTACAAGCAATACTTTATCAACATTGTTGAATTTTACTTTCCTACTTAATATACTCGTTTTTATTTATTAAGTACTAAAATGTTCATTTTTTGCAATAGGCAGTCGTATTCGGAGAAACACTCTATCACGCACTAGAGAACTAATTAACAAACAAGTGAAGATATAGTAAAATATTAGTTTTTTGGTTAATAGCTATAGCTTTGGAAAAAGAAGCATTTTAGACGAAAACAGGAAGCACGCTCTTCCATAATTATTCAGATTAATGAAGATGATTATTCTTCTTACCGAATAATAAAGGAACATAAGTTTGTCATGAATACAATCTCACTAAACTGATAAAAATAAAGCGTAGGTCCCATAAAGGGAAACTGAAGAACACTTTAAAAAATTTGTTTTCCACGTATGGATTTGGTTTAAGCTATGTTCTAATGGATTCATGAGCCAAATTTTACTACCTGTAAAAATTGCTCTCATCCTTTTGCAACTCACAGGGGGAAATGCCAATTAATCCACATTATCGTAAGCAGATGCCATTCGACAACAATATATTTATGAACTTTAAGGTAGATTTTGTCAATTGGTGAACGCTAGAACGATTTTAATCTGGCAATATTAGCAATTTGTGCTTCATACGGTTAAAAAGTCCAAAATGTTCATTGTCACTTAAAATTTAATCTTCATCTTCCATCGCCGCTTCTCCTTTCGGGTCGCGGAGGCAGACGCGTCAGACAGTGCTTC